TTTTTTTTTTTTTTTTTTTCCTTTTTGTCTTTTTTCGTGACCGGCAACGGATCGCAACCCTCAGTGTCGCGCCCGTACCGGACCGGGACCGGCAACGGGATCGCAACCCTCGGTGTTGCTCCCGCACCTCGCTCAGCCAGTGAGCGGCCGGTCTGTATGTGGGATCCGAACCCTCGGCGGGAGCGCTGCCATGCTTCCCAAGCAGCGCACTGTAGCAGTGCGCCACCGGGCCGGCCCTTAGTTTAGGATTCTGAAGAACCATTTAAGGGAAGCTTTGGGGAGACATGCTTTTTGGCTTATGACCAAAAAAAAGAAGAGAAAAAAAGGCAAGTGCAAGAGAGGTATAGGTGTGAGTCCTTACTAAATTCTACTTAGGGTTAGTTTAAGAATTTACAGAAGTGAAGAAAAGGAGAGTGTATCAGAGGAATCCTGTGGTGGTGGATTTGGCAGTGTGATTGGTGGACATTAGATACAGAGGAACACAGAATGGTCCATATACCGAAAAGCACCCCATGGGTCTTGATTATTATTTAATTATATTTTTACTAATTTGCTGACCTGCTGAAATTTATGAATTGTCTAGTGACATTTGAGAGCTGTTGATTTAAACTTAGTTAAGAGAAAAAAATTTGGTTATTGGCTGATAAATTTGCTGAAGGGTAATAATTAGTAGTATAGCCTTCTTCTCCCCCTCTTTTTTTTTTTTTTTCATTTAGCGAACATTTCCTGGGTATTCTCTTTATTATGCAGGATATAAAGCAAGGGATTGTGAAAAATTTATTCATTTATTCATGCAGGATTTACTATGTTGTAGAAACACCTTTCGCTAGACATTGTCTCTCTCTTTAAGGAGAATTTTGGAGAAACATATATAAGATATTAAGTAACTTATCCAGTCTTACTCAGCTTCTAAGTACCAGTCAGTATGTGAACTCAGGTCAGACCGGACATTGTCTCTCTCTTTAAGGAGAATTTTGGAGAAACATATATAAGATATTAAGTAACTTAACCAGTCTTACTCAGCTTCTAAGTACCAGTCAGTATGTGAACTCAGGTCAGACCACTTAAATACAGTGGAAACCATTCCACTATGCTGTTTTTTCTCAAAGAGGAAGTATTAAAGACAGATGGGAAATAAGTATTTCAGGTAAAGGGAGCAATATATATAGAGGTATGATAACAAGATGTGGTGTGGTATGTTCAAGGAAACAGTGTTTTTGTTGTTTTTGGGGGGTCTCAAAGAGGAAGTATTAAAGACAGATGGGAAATAAGTATTTCAGGTAAAGGGAGCAATATGTATAGAGGTATGATAACAAGATGTGGTGTGGTATGTTCAAGGAAACAGTGTTTTTGTTGTTTTGGGGGGTTTTTTTTTGGTATAATGTATAGGGTCTTGGAGGGTAGGCAGCTGTACTAAGGAACTTAAACTTCATTCAGTAGATAGTACAAAATTACTGAAGAAATTTAAGCAGGGGATTTACATAAAATTTTGCATTTTAGACATAATTCTGGTGGCAGTATGAGCAGGGAAATCAGTTAGAAGGATACTACAGTAATCTAGGCAAAAAATGACAAGGAAATCCTCGGCATCTCCAACTAACCAAATAAATAAAAATTTTAAAATGACAAGGAGTGGAGAAAGAAGATATAGTCCAAAAATATACCCAGGGAAAAAAATTAGCTATACAGGAGAGAAAGGGACCTGATTTCTGATTTGGCCAGTTGAATTTAGGATGGTGCCCTTAACAAAGATCAGGGGGGAAGGGGTAGGTTTAGAATTAGTTTAATTTTGGGAGAAGGAGAATGAGTTTGCTTTTGGACATCTCATTATAACATCCAGTTGTCAAGTAGATATATATCTAGAGCTCAGAATAAGTGTGGTGTGGAGATACAGATTTAAGTCATACTTAAGTCATATATTCATGTATAGGTGGTAGTTGGAGCATTGGTAATGGAATTTGATCACCAAAGGAAAGTGCAGAGCAGGATTTTTCCCTCTTTTGAGAATCTGGCCTCTTTGAGAATATAATGAGGCCTTTCTGTGGTCCTTTCTCCCCAGAAAAATGCACATAAGCACAGTTGCTGGAGCTTCACATACTACTTGGACTCTAGGTTAAAATTCCCTAGTACAGAGTCAGGTGAAAGTTTAAGACTAAGGTGGAGGGCTGGCCGGTTAGCTCACTCGGTTAGAGTGTGGTGCTGATAACACCAAGGTCAAGGATTCGGATCCCTGTAAAGGCCTGCCACCAAGAAAAAAAAGACTAAGCAGGGGAACATCATCATTTAAGGGCTGGACAAAGAAAGACAAGCCCTGAACAACTTTGAAGAGTGGTTGGACACCAAGAAAAGAAGGTGATTCACAGAATGAGTAGCGAACAAGATCTGGACAAGAGAGAAAGGCATGAAAATATCTCTTTGGCTTTGGCAGTTAGGTTACTGATGACTTTAGCCAGAGAAGTTTCAGTGTTGAGTTGATGGCTTAAAGCCATATTGGGATGGGTTGAGAAGTGCATAGGAAGTAAGGAAGTGAAATTATTGAATGTAAATCGCTCTTTTCAGTAATTTGAGTGCAAGAGAAAAGAGAGAAAAAGCAGTAGTAGGAAAGGATAGTCAGTAGAAGGATTTTTAGAAAATGGGCAGAAAGTGATAAGGAAGCAGTTGACAAATGGGCCAGTCAATCAAACAAGGTCCCTGGAGGGATGAGATTAAGAACAGCTACAGAGAGATAGGCTCTGAAACTGGAGGAGACTGATGGGTGAGGACAAGGACTGGATCTACCTTGTTCCTCACTGGATTTCCAGCATCTAGCATATTACTTGACCCGTGATATATGTGTCATAAATATTTGAGGGAGAGCTGGCAAAATAAGAAGGTTTCGAGGAAGGATTGAAAACCCACTGACTCATATAAAGCATGGACTCTGCCCATGAGTAATAAACACTTTTGGGTAGGTAACATACACATAAAAAACTCTAGTAATGTTAGTTGTTTCAGTGAAAAGAAATAGTGATACAGAAGTTGAAAGGAGAGATAAGCCACTTCAAAATAATATAATTGAGGATTGCTATTTGAAATGAGACGTACCTGGATGAAAGTGTTAAGATTTGGAATTGCATTGGGAAGGGGAGGACCTTTAAGGAAGAGCATGAACCAGAAGCTTGGTTGGGAAAATGTCCCTTATCTGCATCTAATCTGGCTGCTTCCTGCCACTACATCAAATTGTACCTCCTCAAGGGATCAGTTTGCCTGTTTTGATATTTTTATTGCTTCTTCAACCACAGGATTTATGACCAGAGGAAAATTGATGAGAATGAGAATAATGGAGTACTCAAGAAATTCTGTCCTCATCATCTGGTAAGATTCATGAAGGGTCAGTGGCTCCAGGCTTCCCTGACTTGACCCCAAGGCTACCCCTGAACTTGTTGGTATGGTGGGGAAGAGCTTGGACTTTCGAGTCAGACACCTGGATTGGAATCCTGGCTTCACCACTTAACAGCTTTGTGATCTTGGGCAGTCACTTCACCTCTGTTAGCTTCAGTTTTCTTATTGACAAAATAGAGATAACAATAACTGCCTTGCCATGGTGGTGAGGCCTAATGAGACAGTGTATATAAAATGGCTAGCACACAGAAGTCAGCCAAGAGAAGGCCCTAAAGACTCTCCCCCTGAGGTAGTTACATTTCGTTGGTTGTACTCCTATCTCTGTCTTTCTCTCCCAATCTCTGAGAGAAAATATAGGGGAATTTGAAGGAAAATCTGTTTCCTAAAGGTGGTATAACAAATGGGGGGTGGGGGTGGGGCATCAGTCAGTATCTGCTCCTTATTGCAGGTGAACAGTGAGTCCAAAGCAAACATCACCTGTCTTGTGTACAGCCACGACGGCACAGGTACGTGAGCAGGGCCCAGCTCCTAGGCTGGCATGCCCCCTCTGTCTAGGGAGCTGCCAAGCCAGTGAGGCATATGCCCTCCAGTGCTCACCATTGTGCTACAGCTCCAAGTGGAGCAGCGGGGAGTAGTTGTTGATGGTGAGTACATAGTGGGAGGATGCAGCAGATGACCCTTGGAGATGCCAGGCACCATTTGCAGAATGCTGCAGATGATATTTGGCAGAGTGTGTCCTGAAGCCCAGGCTACTTGCCTGAGCAGGTTCTTATTGCCTTTGACTCATTCTTGAATTAATGGGCATGATTTTCCTGAGCATTCTGCTACCCCTGGGTTGGCAGTGTGTTCCTATATATATACCCTATATAACCTGACTTGCCTGCTGTTCCAGCTAACTAAGATGGGTGCTATACCTGGGTATTAGGAGGGGGCACTACTGGCAAGAAGCCCCACCCCAACCCCCAATTCCTCATCCCTGCTTTTTTTTCAGCCTTTGCCTTCACTGCTGTGTTCTTGTTCTTGGCAGAGCTCCTGGCCAGTTACAATGATGAAGACATTTACTTATTCAATGCCTCTCACAGTGATGGGGCCCAGTATGTTAAGAGATATAAGGGCCACAGAAATAATGCCACAGGTGAGATTGTCTTTCTAGGATTCTGTGGCTCAAGTCTGTTGGCTTGGAGAAACACAGTATCTCATTCAGGTTGTGCAAATGGGAACTACCCAAGGAGTAGACTGCTTGTATTACTGTGGGCAGTGAGAGGTTGTCCCCAGTTGGGCTGGAGTTTTCATGTTTTCTTCACTATGCTAGAGGAAAGAGGGCTCAAGAGCATCTCTTACCAGTGCAATGATGTTACTTCTAACTGGTTTGGGCATAAGGAGACTAGACTGACTATTTTTTTCTTTTCTTATGATTTCAGGTAACTTCAGAATAGGCACAAAGGGCTCGTTAGGGAGTCAGGGAAAGCCCTCTTTAGTCAGTGGTACTGAATTGCCTAAAATAAGGCGTGAGCTTGTACCTCTGGGGAGGGAGGAAGAAAAGCTTTTGAATGAAGCAGAGGAAGATGAATAGTGGTAGTACCTAGCCCAAGTTTGCAGTGAATGATTGGCCTTTTTTTGCTCTGTATCCATGGTTCCCAAACTTTGTGGCATACTGGAGTCACCTGACAGTCTTTAAAAAATACTGATGCCTGGGCTGGCCCGTGGCTCACTTGGGAGAGTGCGGTGCTGATAACACCAAGGCCACGGGTTCGGATCCCATATAGGGATGGCCGGTTAGCTCACTGGGTGAGCGTGGTGATGACAACACCAAGTCAAGGGTTAAGATCCCCTTACCGGTCATCTTTTTAAAAAAAAAAAAAAATACTGATGCCTGGCTCGACACCACCAAGTCAAGGGTTAAGATCCCCTTACCGGTCATCTTTTTAAAAAAAAAAAAATACTGATGCCTGGCTCCCACCCCCATATGTTCTGATTTAATAGATTTGGGGTGCAACTTAAGCGTTGAGATTTTTTTTTTAAAGCTCCCCATGTGATTCTGAAGTACAGAAAAGTTGGAGAGTCATTACTCTTTGTTGTCATTACCACTCCCAACAGATATTTGCCATAATTTTGACTTGGAGACAGCAGTTAGACAGTTTTCCTTTATCTCGTCAGCTGGTGAGAAGGGAGGAAAAAATCTGTACTTGGATCTCAGTCTACAGGGAGACAAAAGGAAGGGTGCCAATCTTGTGGCTAGTGCAGAATTGGCCATACAGGTTGGAACTCCTGGCTTTTTTTTTTAAACTAATTTCAGAGAGTGGAGCTTTGTTATTCTGAGCCCTGGTAGCAAGCACAGTTCAGTTGCTTCTTATAGGCCATTGTGGCATTACCTCCATCAGTCTCAGATCAACTGAGACTCAAGATACATTGACAAGGTACTAATGAAGTACACATACCAAGGATAGTCCTAGGGCATTGGACAGTGCTACCAAGGAGTGGGCCAGAGTTGGGGCGATTCAGGTTGGGGCAGGTAAGAAATTAGTGAAGCCTATCGTTGCCTGATGGGGTATAGACCAATGAGACTCAGGCTGTTGATAAGGGACTATAGCTGGCTGGTTAGCTCAGTTGGTTAGAGCGCTGCCTTGTAACAAGGTCAAGTGTTTGGATCCCTGTTCCGGCCAGCTGCCAAAACAAACAAACAAACAAACAAACCACACAACAACATGAGTGAACTGTGAAGATAAGGGACTGCAGACTCCTCTGCCCTGTGGAACTCTGGGACAATATAAATAGTCTCTGGGACTGGTGTGATTCTTATATCTATTATACATGCATAATTTCTTGATGTGTTTTGTGAAAATGAAAGGAATTGTTTGGCTCTCAGTTGATTAAGTTTGTGATCTAAATTCCCTGTAAATTCGTATGGGCCTGATACCAACCTTCATGTAGTTTGTTTCTGCATTTATCATTTCAGTAAAAGGTGTCAATTTCTATGGCCCCAAGAGTGAGTTTGTGGTGAGCGGTAGTGACTGCGGGCACATCTTCCTCTGGGAGAAGTCATCCTGCCAGATCATTCAGTTCATGGAGGGGGACAAGGGAGGCGTGGTGAGTATGGTATGCGGAGCTGGCTGGCTCCCTAGTCTCTCCTGTCGTTAAGGTAGGTTTTAGCAGAACCACTGAATTCTCACTATGACCGTGTGATACCATGTTGTAGAGGTCCAAGCAGCTAAATTAAAAGGCAGTGTAGCCTGGGGGTGCTGAGGTTTTAATGAGATATTCTCCTTTTTCCTGTCTTCTGTCCCTTTAAGGCATGGTTTATTGAGAAGAGAGAGGGATCTTAGGGAAGAGCATCTGGCCTGAGTGATATAACTTATGTCTAGGTATGGACCACTTCCAAAAGAAAAAGCTTTAGAGTTCACAGCACACCCTCCCACACAATGCTAAAGATGTCTCCATGTCTCATCCTTTATGTAAGCTAAGTGGTGATCTTGTTTTGTTTTTTTTGTGTGAGTGATATAACTTATGTCTAGGTATGGACCACTTCCAAAAGAAAAAGCTTTAGAGTTCACGGCACACCCTCCCACACAATGCTAAAGATGTCTCCATGTCTCATCCTTTATGTAAGCTAAGTGGTGATCTTGTTTTGTTTTGTTTTTTTGTGTGTGTGTGTGACCGGTAAGGGGATCACAACCCTTGGCTTGGTGTCGCCCACGCCGCGCTCAGCCAGTGAGTGCACCGGCCATCCCTATATAGGATCCGAACCTGCGGTGGAAGCGCCGCTGCGCTCCCAAGTGCTGCACTCTCCCGAGTGCGCCACGGGGCCAGCCCTAAGTGGTGATCTTGAATGGATCCTAGATCAATAAATAAAAGCTATAAAGAGCATTTTTTTTGATAATTGGGAAAATCAGAGTATGTTTTATACATTAGATAACGTGGTATTCAATATTAAATTTATTTAATGTGGTAATGGTTCTATTTATGTAGAATATCATCCTTATACTTAGGAGATACGTGTTGAAGTATTTAGAAGTGAAGTGTCATGCTTAGATTCAGCTGGATACGAGCACACAGTGTATATGTGTATATATGGGGAGAAAGCAAATGTGGCAAAAAAAATTTTTTTTTTTAATAGTGGCTTAGTGGCATGCTGTATAACCCATGATCGATCATATCATGGTCTGCCTGTCCTTTGAGTTCTGCAGACAATCTCTGTGGGGATAGGGCATAGAGGCAGAGTGAGGATTGAGTTAGGGAGTAAAGAGTAGTTAGTTCTTAAGATGTATCTAGTTAACCACATCATCTTTTTTTTCTTTTTTGAGTCATAGAATTAGGAAAGAGTTTAAGCTTTCTGTTGTGAGGTTTTTAGACCATAGACGATAGGAAAGAGAGAGTTTGGAAGACTATATTGTACTGATTACCCAAGATAGTCTGGTTACCCTGGGCCTCTAAGGAATGACTGAGACAGCTTGGTCTCTTTTGCTTTTCATTCCTTCTGAGCTTTGGGGAACTTCAAAGAGCCCAGCCATCTCTTGATGAGGTTTATCCGGAGAGTGGTTTTAGAATGGCTCCTTGCAAACAGGATCCCATTCCTTCCTGAATTTTTCTTACCCGGTATGGGGGTATTTCATATTTTCTTCGGGTTTCCTCTAAATTTTGGGGACCTGGGACCAATAGAGATTCAGGGCTTCTATGGTCTGAATGCAAGTGGAGAGGAGTCTTAGAAGTTCAAGGTGTGTCTCCCTCTTCCCTGCTTAATTTCCTACTCTTCCATAGGTCCCCCTCTATCATCTGCAGTGAAGAAATCCAAAACTCTGGAGTCCTAATTTGAGAATTTTGCAGTAGGCATGTAGTCAGAAAGAAGTCAAAAGGGGCTGGTGAATCCTTTCTTGATCATAAACTATTGTCTTGCATTCTGTTCCAGAGAGATGCAGGGCTGAATGCCCTTTCCCAGGCCAGCACTTGTCCGTTCTCCAAAAGCACTCTGCAGGCCAGGTTGCTTTCAGCTCAGCCAAACCAGGGTTTGATGAGTAATTGAGGTGCTCATGTGGGGAGGGTATCTACTTGGGATGGGTGGGCCCTAGGCCTGAGTTTTAGTGGTCCTAAGAGTGAGAGACTAGAACAAGACATAGAGGGACAACCCTCTGCAATGAGTTTCCTTACTTGTGCTTGCCTCTGTGTAAGCTGAATGATCCATGTGGTCCTCACTTGACTCCCTGTTTTGTTTTGGTTTTTTTTGTCCTAACCTTCCAGCGATGGGGATCACCAGGCACCAGCCTCCATATAAACTTATAGTAGTTCTATATCATAAAGCAGAATGTTAGAAACAGAAGCGATCTTAGAAGTTATTGTCCACCTTGCCCAGGTCTCCTGACTCTGTTTTTGGGTCCTTTCTTTGTTCCCATTCAGCTTCACAGGAACAAGGGTGGGGGGTGATTGCAAAGGACAGCTCCTTAGTCTCCCAAGAGCACTTTGATGCTTCATCCCATTCCCTACATTCCCCCAGCCCAGTCATCTAAGGCCAGAGCTCTTTTCTCTGCTCAGGCATTATTGACAGGATAAGTCCTGGCATTCAGACAGGTCTGGTGAAGTGACCAGGTACCCTGGCCCAGAAGTTCTCTGTCGGCTCCCCCTGCAGGCTCCAACTCAGGTACTGTATGTAATTTATTCTCTTGTTCCTTTTGCCATTGGCTTTGTCCTTAAAGTTCCAAGGAATTGTTCCCCTGTACTTTTTTATTTTGCTGACTCGTTCAAGCAGAGCTAGCTTAGAGTACAGATGTGTAGCAAGAGCTTATCAGGAGATGGATGAATGAGTTCAGGTTTGTATGTGTAAGTTGTCACATATCTTTTGATAATATTTCCAGGCAGTGGTGTTTGTTTCTAGTGCTTCCTCATGCTCTAAATGCACTGCCTAAAAATGCCCCAATACAAACTTTGTTATGAGCCAATAAGTGAAATAGGGGAAGAGGAAAAAAAATGGATTTTCTATTTTACTCTTAGGCTCAGACTTCAATCTTTTCTGAGCATTTGTTTGTTTATTTGTAAAATGGAAGTCAAAGAAGGTTGGAAGTCTGTAGGTTAGCTTTATTTTCCATATTTTCCACACCTGCCCCTGGCTTCTCCTCATCTGCTCTCTCTGCGTGTACAGGCAAGGCAGGGGAGGTTGGTCCAGAGAGAACTAGAAGAGGCTTTTTGCTAACGGTTGTTTTCTTGGACTGTAGGGCAACTGCAAGGCAGGGTGCCTTTCTTTTCTGACTAAAAGCCCGAAAATGCTTTAGCAGCTTGATCTGAAACTAGTTTTTCTGGTGGGGATGGGAACTGCCCTGCCCTGCCTGGGAACCTCAAGTTTTCAAGTCAGACAGCAGGGGGCATGAGTGCTTTGAAACAGAAGGAAGCTGCCTAAGCCAGAAGGCCTGCATGCCATAGTTCATTTCTCCTTTTCAGTGAATGTACCTGGAGGGAGCAGAGATTGAGGCTGTGGGGGTCTGAGGAAGTTGCCTTGTTGCACTGTGCTGCCCTATAGCTGAGCTTATTATCTTCTCAGGGCAGGTAGCAGGATGCTGTCCCCTGGGATGTACAGGGTTCCCACCAGACATGAGCTGCCATTCTCTCTGCCCCAACCCCACCCGAAGCTCAGCCTCTTCTTCTCACCCTGTACCTTCCTTTATTTCTAGTAAACAGTGCCAAGTAAATGTAATTGTTCTCTGACTCTTCTCTGGGGAATCAGTGGCAGCTACTGCTTTCTTCATTTTTAAAAACTTATTTGCCACTTGGTGAAAGCCACTGGTTTTTTCCAGCTTCAGGCAAGTTGGAGCTTTGGAACCTGGAGTGAATGAGGTCATGTGGATCTCACTCCCTTCTTGTGAATCGAGCACTAAGCTTGGCCAGTCACTCACCCATCCCGAGGGCCATGTCTGGGGATGAAGCCACCCCTGACCTATCCATAGGAAAGGATATAGATAGGCCTGGTCATATACCCAGTCTATGTCTGGTGTTTCCTCTATCCCCCAGGCCCTTTGGCCTAGGCTCAGGATGGCTGGGCTGGCCTTTCCAACAGCTGCCTCAGCCCTGATGAGGGCAATTGTTTGGCTCGAGGTGAGTAGTAGTTTTTAAACCCTACTCCCACACACCCCTGAACCTGTGCTTTCCTTTTCTCCTGACCAGGTAAACTGTCTTGAGCCCCACCCTCACCTGCCTGTTCTAGCAACCAGTGGCCTAGACCATGATGTGAAGATCTGGGCACCCACTGCTGAAGCTTCCACTGAGCTGACAGGGTTAAAGGATGTAAGTGGCTGACCGCAGTTCTTTTCTTTCTACTTATCCACATACTGTTATGATTCTTCATTATTATAGAAAGGAGTAACTTGCTGCCCAGTTCTTTAGAGTCACTGCTGTAACACCCTCTCCCACATTCCTGTCATTGCCACTGTAGGAACAGTCTTGCTCCAAGAGGCAGTTTTGAAGTGCCTCTGGTTGGTAATAGGATGGGGGTAGGGAGCATCTTCAGGAAGAATTATCTTTTTTTTTTTTTGACCGGTAAGGGGATTGCAACCCTTGGCATGGTGTGGTCTGCACCACGCTCAGCCAGTGAGCGCACCGGCCATCCCTATATAGGATCCAAACCCGCAGCCTCCGCGCTCCCAGCGTTGCACTCTCCCGAGTGAGCCACGGGGCTGGCCCAGAATTCTATTTTAAAGCCTCTCACCTTCTTACTGGCTAAACCTGAGGTATCCTTTCCTAATCTAATCTAGTTCCACTTCAGCTTAAGGGCTCCCAAGGGAAGCTTTATTGGGATAGAACACCAGCCTTCTTGATCAGGTCCAGGGTCCCTATTCATTGCTGTCCCCCAACCCCAACCCTTTTGTGTTCCAGGTGATTAAGAAGAACAAGCGGGAGCGGGATGAAGATAGCTTGCACCACACTGACTTGTTCGATAGCCACATGCTCTGGTTCCTCATGCATCACCTGAGACAGAGACGCCATCACCGGGTAAGCTAGGGTGGAAGTGAGCTCCCAAGGGCAGTGACCCTCTCATAAGTGCTAAAAAAATTTCCGGTGCTCACTTCCTCACTACTTTAAGGAGGGACAAGGTGGTGTTGGCTGGGTTTCTTATCCATTGTCCCCTATACCCATCTGAGCCCTGGTGTACCCTTGGAGGAGCCACCAGCAGAAAGGGGTGGTGTCTGCTCTTGTTCTCGGTCACCATACATGCATAGTTTTATCTTCATAAAGGCAAAGGCAGGAGGGTGGGAAGAAGTTGAGAAGAAATAATAAATCTCAAGGTGATCCTTCTGTTTTTCCTTTTGTGACAGAAGAGGCCTAGGGCAATGGCTGGCAAAGTGGCAGTTGGCCTGCTGCCAGTTTTGGTAAATAAAATCTTCCTGGAATGCAGCCACACCCATTCTATGTATTGTCTGTGGCTGCTTTCACGCTACAGTGGCAGAGTTGAGTAGTTGCGACAGATACCATATGGCCTACAAGTCTAAAATATTTACTTTCTGTCCCTTTAAGAAAAATTCTGCTGATCCCTGGCCTAGAGCATCTCAGTTATAGCTAGGACCTAACAGGCTTGTCCTTGTTCCATCCAGGAAAGTTACTAACAGGCCTTTCCCATCCCACAGCGCTGGCGAGAACCTGGGGTTGGGGCCACAGACGCGGACTCTGATGAGTCTCCCAGCAGCTCAGACACATCGGACGAGGAGGAGGGCCCCGACCGGGTGCAGTGCATGCCATCCTGAGGCTTCATACCTAGAAGGGGTGGGCTGGGGCTGCCAACCCGATCCTTCCTGGGCAACCCTTTCCTGTCCCAGGCCTTTACATTCAGCAGAAACGCACTTTGGACTTTTTGCTTTAGATAAAAGAAAGACATCCCAGGAGAAGGACAAACCAGAGGGGAACGAACCAACAGAAAGTACCCAAGAGTGGGAATTGAACCCTGAAATGGGGTTCCGTGGAGAGGTGCATAGGACTCAGCAGAAATGGCCTCTCCCCGAAGCTTTTTTTGGCAGTGGAGAGGGGAGCCTTTTCGTTAACTGGTTTAGGATAGGGAATGGGGTTTCTTTTTTCTTTAATCTCCCTTGTTTCTTCAATAGGGGGTGGGGTAGGGGGAACAAATGGCTGTTCAGTACCAAGGGGCCAGAGTGGGGGGTAGGAATGCCACTCTGTCTTTGGTTTAGGTTTTTGACCTTTTCCCCTTGGTTTTCTAAAGTCTCTGACAGTTTTTTTGTTTTTGTTCTTTTTTTTGCTCTGAGCAACCCCACCTCAAGATTCTGTTTTTCTGAGAAGTCCTTAGAGCCCCTAACCATCCTACACTCTTCACTTTTTTTTCCCCACCTTGTTCATTCTCTGTACTTATCACAGTGTTTTGCACTTGATTATGTATCCTTCACTCTCTTCTCTTCATCTCATCACACCCTAAACAGGTCTGGTGAGGGAGGTTGGGGAGAGGTGGAAGGAGGAGCAGAGGTGGAAGAGGTATAGGAAGGATTTTACCTCTTCTTTTTTTTTTTTTAAGTTGTTTGGCGGCAATCTCCCTGTCCTTATCACTGTTAGAGGCCTAATTTTATATCTATGAATATATTAAAAAGCAAGTCAGACTTGGATGTATCAAGTTAAAATTATTGTCAAAGTTTAAATACCTATATATTCTCTATGAATGCAATAAAGGGACTTGAAGACTGAGTAAGAGTAATGATGTGGAGGTGACACCTGGGGTCAGCTTACTCTGTGTATGGCCATTAGAGATTGGGGGTTATCCCTTACAGTTTAGGAAGCTCAAGAATGGAAAGATCTCAGCTCTGCCCTTTCCCGCTTCCCTACCTTGATGTGGGGGTTGTGAAAAACAGGAGATAACTCACAACTCTTTGCCTCAGATCTCCTACCTCTACTTAAGTTTTGTGGGAGTTCCCAGGATGCCTCTTCTAACCAGAAGCTGGCCTGTCTTTAAGATTTGTCCAAACTGTGACTTCAGGAAGGGTGACGCCACTGCAAACTCTCACTCCTGGTACTATGTATGACAGAAGTGTCTGTCTGTGTCTGTCTCTCTCTCTAGCTGCTTGATTTTTTAAGCCATCCCCCCTCCTCAACAGCTTCCTTCCTAATGGAAGAATGAAGGGAAAACTTCCTGGGTTCAACTTTATACTTTGTTCACCTCTTGGTATCTTGGGATTGAGGGACAAGTCAGTAATCTAAGGATTGATTATGGTGGCTGGGGCCTGGACACCTGTCATATCACTTGTCACTGAGTATGAAAGTCCCAATTGAATTCTTGTTAATTGCTTTTGCTGCTGTTTCTTTGCCCCAGTTTCTACAAGATCCAATCAGGAATTCTGCATCCTGGGACAGTCAAATTCCACTAAATAGGCCAGGAAGGAGAGGAAGAGTGAGAGGATGATATTCCCAGACACTCCTTCCTCCTGGCCCTTTTCCTAGCAGCTCTCAGACCAGATGTTAGCTGCTGCACTTCCTCCCTGAGGTAGGGAATGTGTGGTGACCAAGTGGTCTGTGTTCCTATTGCTAGTAGGATAATGAGGTGGGCTAAAAACCATGCACTCTGAAATTTGTTATATTTTCTCTCAGTAAAGCTTTTTTTTCCTGACTGCTGCTCTGTGTGGTATGTGGTCCATTCATTCATGATGGGTTGTTTTTGCTCCTTCCAATGTAGGGGCCCATGTTAACAATTTTAGGAAGTCCAGTCTAGGTTCCAGTTGGAGACTATTGTAAGTGGAATAGGCTCTATCTAGCTCAGTGATACTTAGGAGGGGGGTGGGGGGGGTGGGGAGGGTACTATTTGGGTTGTTTTCTCAGCCCTTATTCCAGGCTGCAGTGATGGATGTGGGGATACTCCCCCTTTCTTCCTGGTTATTCAAAAGCTCCAAAGTCTAAGTCACTCATAGAAATTCTAGAATCAAGCAGGTACAGTACAATCATTCACCTTTATTCCAGGGTTAGAACAAGGCCGTGCACACTGCAGACAGAGGAGCGCTCAGGGTAGGGGCAATCTCACAGTAGTACAAGGGGTGGGGAGGGCAGGTTAGTCTTTTTAGATTATTTTGCCTTACAGAGAAACTACTAGAGTTGCTGAAAATAACCCTGTCTTTCTCCTCCCATTTCCTCCAAAAAGAAGGCTCTTTATTCCCTCTCTCTCTCTTACTGTCATATATCCCTAACAGAGGGACAGTTTATGCTCATGTCTCCCTGACCACCCAATTCTACAAGTATCTCTATGTTCTTAAGGGAGAAGCCAGACAGGGCTGGGGAGACTTGGGAATGTCCTTTAAGGCAAAACCATGGAGTCCTCAAGGTGTGTCTGTTAAGGCAGGTGTCTGCAGCAGTGGCCAGAGGGGACAGGCTGGGCTGGGCAAGGAGTCAGGGATGCTCTCTACAGTCTGGCTTCCTCCATCTTCTGACAGCCAGCGCTCCCTTCCCACTAAAGTTTTGCTTCCACATCATAAAAGCTCTTAACTTCAACTTTCCCTAAATAGTCTCTGAGATTGCATGTGATTTTAATGTTTTTGGGTTTTTTTTTAAAGGCTTTCTTTTTTGTTTGGACTATGTAGCAATTTGACTCTGCCAATCCCTTCACTGTGGCATTCCCCTCCCACCACAGCTCTGGCCTAGACAGTAAGTTAATGCTAGACACCACAAAAAAGGGCAGACATGGCAGTGTGGGTTTAATATACATATATGTAGAATATATATGTACACACAGTTAGCACGGTCAGGGTGGGGAAGGGCATCTTGGGACAGACAGGAGGCTGGGGTCACTCACTGTACTCTAGTGATTTGGCTAGGAGGCAACAACAAGGCCAAGGGGCCAGGATATCAAGTGAGAAGGGTTACCAAGTTCCCTCCTGATTGAATTGGGGTGGGGAGTCAGTGCAAAGAAAAACACTGTAGTTAACATCTCTTCTTTCCGGCTTTCTTTACCAAGGAGAGAGGGAAGGTTGCCTGTAGTAACCACTTTGGGATCCTTTAGGTGGGGGCAGGATTGGGGTTAAAACCTAAGGATATCATTCCCCAACCTCCCTAGATTCAGGGTCAGTGTATGCAACAGTCCGAGTAGGAATAAAGAAGTGGAAAAGGGGACCTCCCCTCTCTCTGCCATAATCCCCATCTCAGGCTCAGTGGTGCATGTTCCCAGCATAATCTCTCTGGAGCAAAAATGGACAGGGGCATCTAATGCTGGCTGCACCATGGGGTTGGATCTTTGGGACCAGGAAAGGATCCAGTGGACTTCTCTCATTAGATCCCTGGCTCCTACCCATCCTAGGCCCATGAGAGGGGAGCAAGAAGGGACCTGCTGGCACCCAGGCCCTCCAACCTGAGGAACAGCAAGAAACGACTCTTCAGCCAGTCCAGTACGGGGAATAAACTCTGAACTCTGGCTTTTGTTTGACCTTTCCAGGTGGGGGTTGGGTAGCCTTTTCACCTCCCCTCCTCCCTACTGCTTTTCCTCAGGTCCACGCACCTCTCCCATACCTCACCCATACCTAAGCTCTTCAATGTAGGAAAATGCAGGTCCGTTCTGCTTCCACACCTTAAAGATGTGGGGGAAGAGTGGAGGAAAGGGATGTAGGAAGAATGTGCCAATTTCTATTTGCATAGAAATAGCCCCCACCTACCCCTAGAGAGGTGAAACTAAGCCCCCTCTCCTAGCCTCTGACCCCCATCCCCTCACAAGGAGGAGGAACTAGATGAGCTAGACATATAGACAGACAGCCAGAGCGTGCGCACACGCACACACACGCGCACAGTAAGGGGGTTAGGACCAGGTTAGTAAATGAGTAGATGGGGGGGGGTTGCTCTTGCCCCCTCCCCTAGAGGATCAGGGAAGGGAGTGGTCCGATGAAGGTCCAACCTTCCTCGCACACACACGCGCACAGTAAGGGGGTTAGGACCAGGTTAGTAAATGAGTAGATGGGGGGGGTTGCTCTTGCCCCCTCCCCTAGAGGATCGGGGAAGGGAGTGGTCCGATGAAGGTCCAACCTTCCTTCTCTTCCTCCCCCTTGCTCAGGCCTTCTTCGGTGGGGGAGCCAATTTGATGATCTCTTCCTCAGAGGGCTGCCGGATAATGTCTGGGGGCAAAAAGGGATGTGTCCAGGGATGGAAGTTTTGGGAGACTCCAAGCAGGCCCACTGAGCATCAGCCTCCATTCAGAATTCAAGGACTGGTTGAGCATTCATCATCTGAATATCCAAAATCCGAAATGCTCCAATGAGCATTTCCTTTGAGCATCATGTTGGTGCTGAAAACGTTTTAGATTTGGGGATTAGGGATGCTCAACCTGTACAAGGATAATCAGTGGGCAGGGGCAGGGGTGCACCTATGTTAAAGGCATGGCCTCTTACCTTTGTACTTCTTGGCACTGGGGATACGGGTTAGCTTGGTGTCCAGCTCATCCTCCTCAGAGATCTTCAGCACACGGGTTCTGTAGTCAATCACCATAGTGAGTAGGTCAGGACGGCGGGAGATCTCAAAGATGTGCTCAATGTAGGAGAGGTTATCTGGATGAAGGCAGGAGAATGAGGGTCAGAACTAGGCTGTAGAGGTCAGCTTCCCCTACTCCACCAGACCCGTGTTCTAGAAAAAGACTGAGTTGCTCACATTGGTTTTCGGAGAAGGGGGACTACTAAGCCAGGAAAAGAAAACTAAAGTACCCAAACAACAGTATAGAAGACTATTCCCAGGAAGGGCAGAGAAGTTTCTAGATTATGGATTTAGAAGGAGGGATTTAGGTTAGACACCAGGTCTCATATTGGTAGAGGGTACAATAGAAATATTAATTTACCTTCTAAATACCCCATACCCACACTATCCGTTTCCAACTTTCCCTCCAAGTCAGTCAGGAAGAATTTCCTGACAACACATGTGGGACTGGAGAGGTGAAATCTCTAGACAACGCAAGAGAGATTCTGGGCCCAGTGAGAAAGGTATTCTAAATGAGAGAAGGCATGGACGTGACCAAAAGCATGATCTCCATGGCTTGGCCAGTTCTAGGAGGTTATAGATGACCTTCTTCCCTGTCTCCTCTCCTCTGGTCATTGCAATAGTCTGACTGTAACATGTCCTCCTTCAGCCTCTCTCCCTTCTGTCCACATTACAGTCAGAATGGTATATCTGAGGGGCCCTGAGGTCAGTCACCTCACCTATCATATACCCTGTCACTCAAGGCCTAATAAAACACATTC